CCACTGAAGGGCATCTAGGCTGGCTCCACAGTTTAGCTGTTGTGGATTGAGCTGCTGTGAACGATGATGTGGCTGTGTCCCTGTAGTGTGCTGTTTTTAAGTCCTTTGGGTATGGACCGAGGAGAGGGACAGCTGGGTCGGATGGTGGTTCCATTCCCAGTTTTCCAAGGAGTCTCTCCTGCTGTCCACCTGGCTGCACTGTTTCGCAGTCCCTCCAGCATGTGTGAGTGGGCCTTTCCCCCACACCCTGCGGGAATGTAGCTCAGGAGTGAAGTGTCCCTGGGTCCCGTCCTCAGTGCTGGAGGAAAGGTAGGAGGGAGGACGGAAGGGAAGGCCGGGGAGAGAGCAGCGAGCGGCCCAGAGAGAAGAGGCTGAGCCAGGTGGCTTCAGGCCCAGGAGGGGCGCGGACTGCTGTGACCACAGAAGCTGGGAGAGGGACCGAGAACACATCTTCCTGGAGCCTGGAGGGAGCGGCGCCCTGTTCCCACCTGGGTCCAGAACTGACCCAAGACGTTTGGGTGGCTTTAGAACACGGGGCTGTGACGATCGGTGGCACCGCTCCTAGGAAACGAAGGCCCCTTTTAACAAAGTTGGTGGAAAGGAACGGAAATGAGACTCGTTTCAGGAGACAGTGTGACAGACCTGGAGAGAGGGAGAGCCAGGAGAGAGGACAGCTTCAGACGCCAGGGCCTGGGCGGGGACAGCGACCTCAAGGTCAATGTCASAGTCCTGGCTTCGGCTTTGATGGACGGGTCACCCGGTGCAGATCACAGGATTCAAATGACGCTGCACATTTTTCACAAGCAGGTCATGAAGAACCTCAGGGGACAGCACACCATGCTGTGGCTTAAGTCTGTCCATGACTCTGTGGATCTGAAATCCACACAAAAATGAACACTTCCCAGTGCCAGCTCAGTGYCGGCTTCTTCCAGCCCGCGGGCATCGGGGCCAGGAGGCACCCTGGTTTTCGGCTCTGGAGGCCCTCCCTGGTGCCGTCCAGTCCCTTTCCCCTTTCCCACACTCACCTGCCTGGGAGGTGCCGCCACTGTCCTTGCTGCCCTGGGGAGAACTCAGGGCTGAGCAGCACCTGCCAGACTCAAGGCGGTCGGTCTCCTCAGCAGCTAGCACAGCACAGTCCCTGGCACATAGTAGGTGCTCAGTAAAGATCGGCAGAATGAACAGATAACTGAGTGAGTGGGTGGATGAGTGGTCAGAGGTGGGTGACGGACAGACCCACGGTTCTCGGTGCACATGTGTGGGGTCAGGGAGCCGTCAGGGAACCCCAGCCACTGACCCCACAGATGAAGACCAGGCTGACGGAGGCCCCACTCAACCCCGACAGCCTGCTGCACTTTTCTCGTGGACCTGGGGCCCAGCTGGGCCTCTCCGGGGCCGGGGCACGGGAGGACTGTGGGCGGCAGGCTGTGATTTCCCTCTTGGCTCCTTGCACTTCAGCCACTGATCTGCCACCGCACCTCCTCTTCCATGTCCCATGACACCTCTGTAGTCACTTCCTTCACATTTTAAGGTACTTTTTTCCCCCTAACTAGGCCGACTTTAAGAGGAATGGGCATCGGTCACTGATGGTGAATGGAAGGGAACTGAAACGCAGGCACACAGAAGACCATCCACCTCAGCTCATGAGCACTGACTTCCCAAGATTCTGGGTGTGAGGTCGACTTTCTCTTCTCGGTGTCAGGGGTTCAGCCATGTTCAAGCTGCACTAGCTGCAAGCGGGGCTTCCTCCCCTTGAAGGAGAATTGCTGTGTGTCTCAGAGCTAGGTGACACCTCCTCTGTGTCCCCCCTAGCCTGGCCCTGCAAACCTCACCAGTGGTTTTCATCTCGCCCTCAGGAAGCTCCCCTGTGGCCGAAGTCAAAGTTTTCATTTTCTCTCTAGGCCTGGAGCCCTGGGGGGGTGTCCTGGGAGCATACCCCCACCTGGGGGCAGGGCCTGGTGGCTGTGGGCTAGGCAGGGGGGCCCGCTGCAGGAGCTACCCAGGCAGCTGACTCCTCTCCACTCTCCAGTCCCAGCCAGCCCCTTCCTGGTCGCAGCCCCCTCCCCTTCTTCCCCACCTCCCCCAGTGGGCCCAGGGCCAGGTCAGCACAGGGCAGACCGGGTGGCCGGCCAGCCCCAGGGAGCCCGGAAATGTCACCTCTGGCCCTTGATCATCTTGCTGGCTAATGAACACCTGAGACCCCCAGCCCGTCCAATAGGGAGGACTCAGGGGATGCTGAGCCAGATGTCACCACAGAGGCCGCCAATATCTCCCTCCAGGATGTGGGCCTGGGGGCAGAGGCCCACACCCTGCCTCTTGGGTAGAGAAAGCTGGGGCTGGGGCAGCCAGTTGGGGTCTTGGTGAGAGCAGACGCCATGGGCTCCTCTGTGGGTTCGGCCTCAGGCCTGGTCCCCACTGTTGACCGTCAGCTCATGAGAAACCGAAGCTCAGGCGCTGCACTCAGAGCGCCGCCCCGGGGGTCCTGAGCTGTGCATGGGGCTCCCAGTGAGTTGGGAACTGGGAGTTTGGAACAGGGCCTGGCAGCTCTGTGTAGGTGTTTGTCGCTGTCTGTACTGTTCCTTCCTGCCTTGTTACCAGGTGGGAGCCTGGTGGGTGGGACCAGGGCTGGATCCAGGTGGGCGGAGGCCAGGGCCTCCCACCTCTCAGTAGCCCCAGAGGTGGGTTGTGAAGACCAGGGGGTCAAGGCTTAGAGCAGTGCGTAACTTCACCTGCCAGACCCCGTTACTAATATAAACAGCCAGTGGCCGAGGCTGCTCAGTCCTCCATGTGCTCTCYGCCCTGTGAAGTGGACCTTGCTGTCATCCCTGTGTGTTCAGATGAAAAACGTGAGGCCCAGAGAGGTTAGGCTGCTCTTTCAAAGCCACTCAGCAGGACAGGCTGGACTGAAGCTGGGCAGTCTGGCGGTTTCTATGCCATGCTGCATGGCTTTCATCAGTGTCCTGCCTCGCCTGTGGCCAGCTCTGGCTCTGGAGATCTGAGCCTGCTCTCCGGGGCTCTGACTGCTCATGAGGCGAAATCAACTTGAGGCTAGGACCAGAGGCCACTGGAACTGGCTTTTGGGGAGAAACTGTTTCCTCTGCTCATGTTCCCTGGTGTGGCCCATAGCCGGTCCACTCCGGAGCAGGAGCTGCCTGGCTCTGGCCTTCCCTCTGTGGTTCTGGGCCCCATTCTTATGCAACTCCCAGCTCGCCTCCTGGGCCTGTGCTCCTCCTGGCTGGGGTGCAGCTGGGCTGGCTGGGAGAGCTGCCTTCCCGTCACATTCACTCAGCATTTATCTGTCACCCACTGTAGACTCGGCAGGCAGTGAATGGGACACACCAAATGGGTAGGACAGACCTAAAGTTAACTGTGCGTCCTTGATTAGGGGAGAATGACCAAGAGGACAACCCTTGAGTGGGGGCTCTCCTGACAAGGGGCATGTAAGAGAAAACCTGAAAAGGGAAGTGGAAGAATGTTCCAGTTGAAGGAAAGTCGGGAGACAAGAGGGTGGGGGCACTGTGCACTGCTGCCTGGTGGGAGGGAGGCAGGAGCTCAGACCATCTTCTTCCAGAGGGCTCCACTTGAGGCTGGGGAAGAAGTTTCTGGCAACAATCCCGTGAGCTCCCAGAACAGCTCCCGCCAGCTCCTCCACCCCCTGCTGTCTTCCCTAGTACCTGGGCCACCTTCACCCACCTTGTGGACTCCAGCTGGCCAGGGGCCAGTGTCCTCTACCCCAGCCACTTTCTTGGAGTGAACCAGTGGTGGTTACTGCACTAAGGGAGCCTCTCAGGACCCACCTAAAACCCAGGCTGCACCAGAACAGCTGGCAGTCCTTGAGCTCTTTAACACCTGGGGTTCCTTATTTGTAAATGGGATAATTCTTAAAGTTATTTTGATAAAATGTGTTGACCAATTAATTCAGCGCATGGCATTTAGTGGAGGGCCTGTCCACCGGGGTCTGAAGTTTTTAAAAAACCCGTGATTTGCCAGATGCACTGGCTCCCATCTGCTCATCCCATAGGCTTGAAAGGCTGGGGAGACTGTGAGTTCAAAGCCAGCCTCAGCAACTCAGCGAGGCCCTCAGCAACTTAGGGAGGCCCTGTCTCAAAAAATAAATAAGTAAATACATAAAAAGGGATGTGGCTCAGTGGTGAAGCGCCCCTGGGTCCACACACACACACAACAAACCCCAACCCCCAGGCCATGATCATGGGTGGTCAAAGGCTGCGATTCCCACCGTCTGCTGCCACCGGAGAGCGCTGCCGGCAGAGACCGCCTCTGTCTGTCCGGGGCTCTTTGCGCAGCGACTGGGGAATGAGGCCCAGGGTCGGGCTCCCTCCGTAGAGAAGGGAAGAGGAATGGGTGAACAGCCGCGGAACTGGACCCCCGCGGTCTTTCCGTGCAAAAGTGCCAGGCCCGCCTCCGCCGGCACAGCCCCGAGCGCTGCGCTCCAGCTTTCCGGCGGGTGCCGTCCTGCGCGCCGTGCGCCTCAGTTTCCCTGTTCTCAGGCGGGAACGGAGCGGCCTGCGGGGCTGGCCGGAGGACTGCCGAGGGAGGACTCCCGTCGCGGGCCCCGCACCCCCCGGCGCCCAATCGGCGCGCGGAAACCCAGCCCGCCCCCTGCCCCGGTTCTGCCCGCCGCGCCCCGGCCGCCCGCCCCCTGCCCCGGTTCTGCCCGCCCCGCCCCGGCCGCCCGCCCCCTGCCCCGGTTCTGCCCGCGGCGCCCGGCCGCCCGCCCCCTGCCCCGGTTCTGCCCGCGGCGCCCGGCCGCCCGCCCCGGCCTCCGGCGCACGTGACTCCGCCCCGGGCCGCCCGCCCCGCCCCGGCCGCCCGCCCCGGCCTCCGGCGCACGTGACTCCGCCCCGGACCGCCCCGCCCCGCCGTCCAAGCGCGGCCCACCATTGGCCTCCCTGGAGGCCCCGCCCCCTCAGGGGCGGGGCCGGTGGCGTCCCGCCCGCCGCAGAGCGGGGCTCCTGCGTCCCGACGGTGCGCGGCGGCCGGACCGGGCTGGCGGGCGGGCGGGCGGAGCCGGACCAGCGGGACTGCCGCGGGGCGATCGGGCCGGCTGCAGGCCGCGCCATGGTGAGCGGGACCGGGCGGGCCGGGCGCTGTSGGGTGGGCCCCGGCCGGAGGGGCCGGGGCGGACCCGGGCGGGGTGGGGGCGCGCTCGAGGCCGCGGTGCCCGGGGCCGGGGTCTCTGCGTCGGGGGAGGGGCGACCCTGCGGGGGCGCGGCTTCGGGGAGGGTCTGTTCCTGGGGGCCGCGCCCGCGGGCGGGGGCTCTGGGTCCGCTGCGCCGTGCGAGATCCGGACAAAGGAGGCGGCGGGGGGCGGAGGCTGCTTGGCGCGGACCCGGTGTCCCCCTCCCCCGCCGGTGCGGGTCCCCCGCCGCGGCCCGCAGTTGTGCGCCCTGCGCCCGCTGCCGGGCTCTCCGGGACACTTCGGGATTTCTCAAAATCCCGGGAGAGATGGGGGTCCTGGCTGCCCCCAGCGTGGTCCAAAGGGCTTGGAGAGGTGGCCTCCAGCCGCGTCTGGCGTCCGTTTCGTGGGTGGGGAAACTGAGGCCGAGCCGCAGCGTTTGGCGCCGGGTTCCGTCGGCCGTGGCTGCGCGGCGTGGGCAGGACTGGGTCTCGTGGTCCCCGTCCCCCCACCTCTAAGAAGCGGACTTGAGTGGCCTCTCCAGCTGTCGCTGCCTCTCCAGCTGTCGCCCCCGGCCTGAGCCCCTGCTTCCCTCAAGCCTGGCCTCGCCTCTCCTCTCCACAGAGTGAGGGGACGCGGGCGTCGCCTGCAGGGTTAAATGAGAGGGTGCGTGGAGCGCATCTGGCACCGCGCCTGCACTCCGCCCGCGCTCAGCACGAGGGAGCTGCCGGGGCGCTTGTCATCGAGTCCCCGTCCCGCCTTGAGTCTTCAGCTCGGGTCACCCAGCCTGCTCTCATGGGGACCACACTGGGATTCACCTGTCCTCCACCCCTCAGGCGTCAGGGAGAGGAGGTGCCSGAGAATATGGCATTTTAGAGTCATACTCTGGAATCCAGAGTTTCAGATCTAGGCTGCCTAGGTTTGAGCTGTGTGACCTTGGGCAATTGACATAACTTCTCTGAGCCACAGATTCTTCCTCTGCCAAGTGGGAAGAGCAATAATTCAATTTTAGGGTCGTTGTGAGGCAGARATTTTGGAGACGATCTGCAAAGGGTGTCTGGCACATAATAGTCACTATCAACTTTTGTAGCAGCCACTACTTCCAAAGTTGTTTGGCCAAATGGGCTGTGAGAATGACCAGTGGACGGTGCATACTGTGGGAGCAGGAGCCTCAGATCTGGGCCACAGGAGACCCTGGCTGACCTTGGGGCAGTCCCGGAGCTCTGGCTCCCGCTTCCTCTTCTGCCGTGGGGAGCCGTGACTCTGGAGCCAGCTTCTCTTCTGGAGGAGGAGGTGGAGGGTGAGATACCGGGACCAGAGCCGGGCACAGCGGTAACGCTCACTTCCCGTCAGCTTCCCTGCTGTAGGATGTGTCCTTGTGTCCAGGGCGGCTGGGGCTGGCGCGGCAGACACTTTGCCCGCAGTCTGCTTCTCCTTCTCTGGTTGTCTCTGTCCGGCAGTCCTGCCTCCCTCCTCAGCACCAGGGCAGCAGGCCTTCTGGTTTGTGAACTGGGGTCAGTCAGTGCCCTTGGCAGGTGGCTGTGTGGCGGGTGAGAGACATGCTCTGCCCTGGGGTTGCAGTGGAGTCCCTGGGGGGGGCTGCACCCTGCGAGCAGGTGGGAGCTGTGGACGTGGGGTGCTGAGCTCTGCCAGGCTCAGCAGCACCATGGTGTGCCTGGGGAAGGGAGAGGAGCAGCAGTGTGTCCCTGGGGAGGGCTGCTGGTGTCACGGGGCCTGGGCCAGACTGTGTGCCCTGCTGGTCCTCACTTTACACACTAGAAACCAAGGCCATCAGCAGCGACATGCTTGAGTGGGTGGGAGCAGCTAACGGAAGCCTGCTTTGGGCCCTGCGCCTGTCCAGTGGGCAAAGGCCATGCAGAGGCAGGGTCACCTAGGTCCTCTCCTCACACTGGCCAGACTCAGAGGAGAAGCGGGGCCTGCGAAGGAGACCCATGCCCTGTGCCCACTGGTGCCTGGGCAGGGACTGTCTTTCTGAGCCCTCCGGACCTTGGCACAGCAGCTTTAGCACTGCCGCAGCCTTACTGGCGAAGGCCGGCGCTGGCCAGTGCTCACCTGGAATTTGTTGATTCTCTTATTCCAGGGGACACATGACCTCTGTGGGGACACGGCATGTCCTGTGCTTCACCCTCCTTTGGGGATGATTGGGGGGCAGAGAACTCTGCAGACTGGAGAGCCTGGGCTTTGCCAGGCGTGGTCTGTGGGACTCCCGGGTCAAGGCACACRGTAGGCTGGGTGGGGTTCAGGTGCCAGGTTTGCCCTGACCCAGAGAGTGGGCCAGGGGGTGTCGCAGATCTCTGCTGCCAGCTGGCCCTGTCCTGCTCTGGCCCTCTACACGTGAACGACCTCCCTTTGCTCTTGGGGGTCACTGCTCATTTCCAGCTCTCACTCTTGACAGCCCACCCCAGCTCTACACCTCGGTCTCCTCATCTGCGAAGCGGGGGTGCTGATGGCGAGTGGAGTCATCCAGGGGCCTTGGGGGCCAGAGGCCTGTGTAGGAGGTGTGATGTGTCCACGTTTCCCACGTGTCATCCTGGGCATCTCCCCAGCCCAGGCCTTGACCCTCTCTGTGCCACCCTGGCCCTTGTGCTTTGCAGGATTGCAGGGGCCAGCTGGCTTGCAGGAAACAGCCATACTCGGGGGCCTGAGGAGGCCCAGGGGGGCTGGGGTCCAACCAGGCAAAGTGGGGCTCACAGCGCCCAGCTGCCCTGGCATGTTGGACTTCCTCTGGGCTGTGCTTCTCAGCCACTCGGCCACCACCTCCCCTCGCTGCCCCAGCGTGCAGCATGGGCTGAGTCCTCTGAGAATCCACGGGCACATCTTTCTTTCAAACCCCACACTCTGGCTGCAGCCTGTCCTTCCTCATAGGCTGCTGGAGTGGGCACAGGGATCTGTGCCCAGGGTCCCAGGGCTGGCCTGGGTTTAGGGAGCTCACTCAGCTGGGGTTCCCTGCCTTTGAAGGCAGGATGTCCTCTAACTTCTCGCTGCGTCCCTAGGCTTGGAACACTCAGCAGACCTTCACTGAGCACCTACTGTGTGCTGGTGATCAGGCAGAGGATGTGCATGGGCAGTGGCTTCCTCTTGCAGACCTGGTGTCCATGGGTGCAAGTCAGCAGCCAGGGAGACACCCTGACCCAAGAGCCTTCCAGGTGACAGAGAGCTCTGGAAATAAAGTGGAGCGGGGTGAGCATGGGAGAGGGGTTGCTGGGGCCAGGGTGGTGTGGGTGGCGGCCCTCAGAGGTACCTTCTGAGAAAGGCCCCAGTTACAGGAAGGAGCACCATGGGCTGGGGAGGGAACACTGCAGGCCCAGGGGACAGGCGGGGCAGAGCCAGCTGGAGGCGGGGAGTTTGGATTTTCTTCTGAGGCCTGGGAGGGTCTGAGTGGGGAATGATGTGATCAGATTTTTTAGATCAGTTCTCAGGAAATGCTCGTGACTGAAAGGAGGAACCGGTACATTCCGGGAGGGCGGGGGGCCACTGGTAGGCGTGACTGTGGCTCGGTCACGCTCCRGTCACGCTCCGTGCTTGGGGGTGGGTGGGACAAGAGGCCCCTACCTGGCTCTGCCCATCTCCAGGCCTGGGGCAGTCCCCTCTCTCCTCAGCGGGTCCCTTTGAGCTGGGGCTGCCTGTGCCTCAGTTTCTTTACTAGTCCTGAGACTGCTGGTTCTCCTGGACTGGTGGGTGCTTCTTGGGCTATCTCCCACCTCCTGCCCCTGAGCCACCCAGTCCCCAGACACACACTTCCCCTTCTAAACTGATACTGACTTGCCTTCCTGCCAGAAGGCTGTGTGGGAGGTGGATGTCCCGGCAGCTCTGCACCCCGAGGCCCCGGAGAGGGAGTGCAGGCAGGGCTGGCCGGTGCAGGCCCACTCCTGGGGCCTGAGGGGACAGGCTGGTGGAGAGGGCAGAGGCCGGGCTGCTGAGTGGGCAGGGCAGGGTCAGGAGGGCATCTTGCCAGAGCTGGCATTAACTAGGTCAGAGTTACTCTCCGCCTCCCTCAGGTGGCATTTGGGGCCAGGTCACTCTGTGTCACAGTTCTGGAGTTGCCCTGTGCCTTGGGATGTTCAGCAGCATCTCTGGCCTCTGCCCTGTGATAGTGCCTCCTCCCCCGGTTTATGACCACCCAAAATGGCCGCAGGAACCGTCAGACGTCCCCAGGGTGGGGCAGCCTACATTGAGGACCACTGGTGATGGTGCAGAGGATGTGCGCGGGCAGTGGCTTCTTCTTGCCCACCTGGAGCACAGGTCAAGGCAGGGGCGCCTGGCGGAGGCGGCCTGGAGGATGTGCGCGTGGCAGCAGCATGGCTGGGAGGTGGGAAGCAGCCCCGGGCATCGTGCTGGCCCTGTAGGCAGCTGTGGACTTGGTTGTGTCCTGTGTCTTGGGATTGGCAAGGGTCCTGGCTGTGGTGGGCTCAGTGAGAGGGACGGCAGCAACAACAGTAAGAAGGACACAGCTCCAGGACTGTCGCCTTCCTGCCTGGAGCCTCTCTGCWGGTGGTGGGCAGTGCTCCCTGGTTCCAGGGCCGGTCCTTGGACACTGGGGTATTAACTTAGCTGCCTTGACCTTCGGGTAGCCCCCCCACCCTAGCCTCCTAGGTTGGGTACAAGTCACTTCTAATTGAGGTCACTATGGCTGAGGGACACAGCAGGTCCATCCTGTTTGGAGGGAAAAACTTTTCCAGTGCTGTCTACCTGCGTGGATGCGACTCCTGAGAAAGAAAACCTACACCTGTGGACACCCAGTCTCAGCGGAGGGCGGACTGAGTGCTGGGCCTGCACAGGATGCTTTGCAGGCTGGTCCTCACCCCCACGGCCAGGGTGTGCTGCTGTAGTGGCTGTGTGACTGGTGGCGGGGGGAGAAGGGGCAAGGTCTTGGGCACCAGGGCAAGCTGGTTTCAGTGTCCAGGGGTGCAACAGTGGCAAAGTCCAGGCCTCGCTGCCTGGCCCTGGGTGTCCCCTGTAGGAAGAGAGGAAGACTGGAGTGTGGGTTTTCTGGATCCCGTGTGGTGGGGAGCCACTTTCTGATGCCCCCAGCAGCCACATCTGCAGATGAGGGTTCTGGGGCTGGGCAAGGCGGTGGGAGCTGTCTGAGGTCACATGGGGAGGCAGTGGCTGCCAGTCCTCTGGGTCCTGGCCTCACCCCTCCCACACCTGGGAGCAGGCCTGGCCTGGGGTGCCCTCCCACCACTGTCTAGACAGGGTGCTGCTCCCACTCCCTGCTCCTGCCTTGGGTAATCACCACTCCCCCCGCCAGCAGTGCCGTTCCCCCCCAGCGAGGCCTCCCTGCACCCTAGCCGCCCACCACCTGGTCCTTGGTGTCCCTACGTGGCACCTGCATTTGTGGTGACAAGCATTTTGGAGTACTGACCAGGTGCAGAGCATGTGCAGACAGGGCTCCTGCCCACCCCTGCCCCTCCAGAGCTCCCCTGGGCCTCTGGGCCTCAGCTCACCCAGGTTCCAGAGGTCCAGGTCCCCCAGGCCAGCACAGGCCCCAGGGGCAGAAGTCACAGGAGTCCCCGAGGGACGTGGTTGCTGTGTGTGTCATCTGCTCCCCACCGGAGCAGATGTCATTTCCTTGTTTTCAAATCCTTCCTCCATCCCTCAGGAAGTCACTGGCTCCTCTTAGTCCCCAAGTGGTTAGTGACACCCAGTGGTGCAGCTCCCGGAGCCGACACGGCCAACGGAAGAGCCAGAGGAGTGTCCAGCCCTCCCTCGGCCCCTGCCACAGCTTTAGAGGTGTCCTCTGTCCCCCTTCCCCTCCACGACTGGGTCCTGGGGCTGAGCCAGGGGCCACATGCTTGATCTGGTTACAGAAGCAGGTGGGTGTGGGACACCAGATGGACAGACACCGAACGCCAGTCCTGTGTCCTCCTTGGGATGAGAGCCCGTGTTCAGGCTGAAGAACTCTCAAAAACAGAGTCCAGAGCTGGGCGCAGTGGCGCCCGCCTGTGATCCCGGCAGCTCGGGAGGAGCCCGGGGGGGGGGGGGACAGCACCTGCAGTCCCAGCACTCAGGCCGAGCAGGAGGATTGCTTAAGTCCTGGAGTTTGAGACCAGCCTTGGCAACAAACTTAGAGCCCATGCAGGTGCCAGCTGGAGCTCTCCAGTGGTGTGTGGTCCCCCTGTAGGCCCCGGTGTAGCCTCCACTCGCTCTGTCTTTCAGGACCCTCACGTCCAGCTGGAGTTCCAGCCTCACTGAGCCAGCCGCCCCAGGAGCTTCCTGCCGAGGAAGCCACACGAGCACTGACCATGTCTATCATGGACCACAGCCCCACCACAGGCGTGGTCACGGTCATTGTCATCCTCATCGCCATTGCTGCACTGGGGGCCTTGATCCTGGGCTGCTGGTGCTACCTGCGGCTACAGCGCATCAGCCAGTCGGAGGACGAGGAGAGCATTGTGGGCGATGGCGAGACCAAGGAGCCCTTCCTGCTGGTGCAGTACTCGGCCAAGGGACCGTGCGTGGAGAGGAAGGCCAAGCTGATGACCTCCAGCGGCCCCGAGGTGCACGGCTGATCTGGGCTTCGAGGCTTCCGGTCCTGTTTGCAGCCAGCCAAGCGGCACCAGGAGGGGCAGAACCACACAGATATGCTGCTATCTGAGAGGAAGGGTTGATGCTTGCTGGCATGGCCTCTTCGGGCTTGGCCATCGCATGCACTGACTCCAGGGTCCTGGCTGTCCTGGGCTTCCCCTTGGCCTCCTGGTGGGGCTGCCCATTGCAGGCAGTGGGCAGGCTTGACCTTGCTGGGGCCTTGCTGGGGCCACGCTGGGGCTGTGGCCCCCTAGTGCTTTTGTTACTTGAATGTTTAGCTGAGCCTGTTTTTGACAGAGCTACTACTGTAATGCGTGAACTAACAAACCTGTGAACTGTACATAGGCCCCAGAAGCACGTGCTTAAAGCCTTTTTTTTGCTGAATTTTAAAAATACCATATGAAGCACATGGGACCGGTTGATTATGGCCGTACTCACGATGAGCAGAGGCAAGACCGTGGAGGGTCTTGGACGTGTAAGGCCCAGGGTTGAACCTGGCAGGAGTCTCTGATGCCTACCTGCCTGTATGTAAAAGAAGTGAGATGTCAGTTTGAAGTCTCTGGCTGACCTGTCTGGGTGCTTTGGAGAGGTCTCTCTGGCTGGTAGTGGATGAAGAGCCACGCCCCTCCCTCTTTCCTCCAGGTAGATGCAGCGGTTAAGCTGTTAACCGCGCCCATTGATGGCAGTTTATTGCAAGGACGCTACGTACCTGCTTGGGAGCCAGTGAAGGACGAGTCAGGGCACGCGTCCCGAGGCTGCCAGGCGTCTTAGTAGCCGAGCAGTGTCTTGCCCCCCTGGTTGTGAGCATGCTGAGTGCCCCATCTTGACACAGGCTTTGCTGAGCTCACTGATCCTCAGAGGAACACCAGCGCTCTGGTGGCTCCTGTCAGCTGAGACCCAGTTGGCCCAGGAGCGAGTTTTTGGTTTTGTTTTTGTATTTAATATTTTCTGCACTGGAGGGGAGGAGGTGGAGATCTGGCTTTTTTCCCCCTCTTCCCTTTTCACAAGTTAGCCCCCTTTCCTCTCTGGTGAGCGCCCACCTGCTGGGTACTGGATTTCACTTTCCTGAGTGGCCCATCTCAAAAGTCCCTGATCTCTTCAAAGGCCCTGCATGYGGTGTGTGGCTTCACCAAGAAGCCACCAGATGCTCCCTGCCAGCCCGTGCTTAGCACAGGAAGAGGGGGTGAATTTCAAGTTCAGGAACTGGTTCTCATGGGCAGGAGTTGGTGGCTTTCAGTGGAGCTGGCCTGCGTCTCAAGCTGTCCCATGTGAGCTAGCTCAGGTTTTTAATCCAACCACTGTATGCACATTCTACACCATCACCAAAATGTGGCTCAAGTGTCATCCTGGGTCACCAGTCGGAGGCCAGCCCTGGCATGACTTTGGAGTGCTGGCCCCATGCACTTGAGCTGCTGGCAAGCAGCAAGCATCGTGGGAGGCACAGCTCTGGCCTCCTGGCCCTGCTGGAGGCAACTCCCCTGTTGAGCTGATCCACTCTCTAGAGCCCCGGGGAGCTGTAGGGAGCCTCCATTTTAGCAGCATCAGACATGAAGGGTGGGAAGGGGTGGCGGACTAGGCCATCTGTGCTGCAGGCAGTGGAGGAGCACCGGAGAGCAGGAGAGGAAGTGCCCTTGCCCCTGACGGATGGCGCAGTGGCCAAGAGGTGGTAGAAGGACAGCTGGGCCTAAGCAGAGGCAGTCAGGTGGGGCAGAGGCTGGGAGAGGCCACCCAGCCACCGCAGCCAAGACCAGAGGGGAGGACAGGAGGCCCAAAGATGCCGACAAAAGACAGGTGAGGTGCTGGACCCACTCCTCTCCCTGCCGACCTCCTGGCTGGCTCCCACTACTCACGAGGCTGGTGGCCCACAGCCTCAGCTGCATGAGTGGCGGGATCTGCACCTTCAGCCTCTGACCCCGATCCCTCAGCTGACTCCACTCTGACGCCTGCAGTTCTCACTGTGCCGCTGAGTTTGTTTGGAGATGACTAGCCCTGCCCTCTCATCAGCTTCACTTTGAGGTCCTCTTGCCCCTCCATTAGCCAGCCACGTCTGTAGAGCCTGAGTTGGCCAGGGGCAGGCCCAGTGGGGCGCTGGTGGGGTGTCTGGGAGGAGCATGACCATGCCCATGAAACTGGAGAGCAACATACAGTGGCTGTCCCTGTTCTATCAGTGGCTACTTTTTTAAAGCATAGATCCCAAGCCACACACTCCAATGGCTTAGTGAATTATGATCTCTCTCAATTCTTTATCAATAGCCCAACTTTTGTGTTCCAGTCTTCTAAGACAGTCAGAGTTGACCTTTCCCCCTCCATGTCATGGCAGAAGCAACAGTAGGGCAGCGGGAGGGAACACTGACACTGAGCCACTCAAATACAGACTGATTTTTCAGACAGATCTTCAAATGGACTGTGCTACTGTTTTTCTCTCAAAGCTACCAAGTTTGTGCAATAAGTGGAAGGGATGTCATCCCTGTTTAATAAAAGCTGAACGACATTCAAGTTGATTTTCTAGACCACTGAGAAAATCTTTATTTACAATAAATTTCAATAAAATTTGCATAAATATATTCCCAATATACAGTTTTCACCTCTGATTCCTTCATGACATTTTGCAAGTTAGTCTGTCCTGTTCTCACCCTTCCTCTCAGGTGCCAGCGAGGAGCTGCCATTGGAAGGTGAAGGGGCGCTTCCAGGTAACTGGGGGGCGCCTGTGGGCTCAGGGTGCTCAGGACGCACCTCTGTCCGGGGGGCTGGGTCCTCAGCCCGGTCCCGGCCCTCCAGTTTCTTCTCCATGGTGGCCACCAGGATCTTGAGCCACGCGTTTTCAGTGAGGAGGGTCTCTGAGGCGTCAGCCAGCTCTTCCAGCTCGCGGGCCTTCTGTGCATACAGGGCCTGCAGCTGCTCACTGTGCCGCTGGAGCAGGCTGTGCTGCTTCTCCAGGGTCTGCTGCTGTCGCAGCAGCCGGCGCTCGTCCCTGCGGGCGTTGGAGAGCTGGCCCTCCACCTGCACCTGTGCTCGGTGAAGGCTGCCTATCTCTGCTCTCAGTTTCTGGATCTCCCTCTCCAAGTGGGAGATGTGCCCCTGCTGTAGGACTGCCTCGCTCTGGAGACATTCTTGGGTAGACATTCTTGACTTCTGGGGGGCGGAGGCAGGGTCCGAGTGGTGCAAGATGAACCTCAGCAGATTTGGAAGGGTGATGGGGAGGTCTTCAGGGTATTTCACACTTAGGTCCTTTCTGGAAAGAGAGGGAAAGGAGCCGAGGATCAGACTCGTGGCAACAGGATGGTATAAAACCAGCTGCTGCGGAGGTCAGGCAGCTCTGCTTACCAAGAAAGACATCCCGAGGACTTGACTTACTGGAGGGAGGGAAGAGGGGCATGAGCAGGCACTTCTCACAGGTGAGGCTGGCTGCTCCGTGATAAGGCAGCTTATCTAAATGTGTGTCTGTTCCTGAGGCTGGAGCTCAGCTTCTGCACACGGCCTTCCAGAAGTGCTCCCAGGCTYAGGCCTAAAGCCAGTGACAGCAACTTAGCAGCGTGGGGAAATGCCACGTGCTCTGTGAGGCCTAGTGACCATGCAGCATGGGCTTCCTGGGCAGGACTGTCCCTATGTCACTTTGTGGTCATCAACAATGCTTGGTGAAATCAGAAAAGCTGAAACGTTTGTTTTCTCAGTAAGCATTTCTACCCATCCAAGGCAGAAGTCCTCCATCCCCAGGAGACACTGGGCTCCACCTGGAGAGGTCTTATTGGCAACCAGACCTACCAAGGGGCTTAGGTCAAGCGTGGCTGCCTGGTCCTGAGAGCGCAGAATAAGGAAGAGGGTGACAGTGGACAGGGTTCCCCACAACTTTGTTCCAAGTCTTGATTTAGAAAATTCCTTTTCGGAACTTCATTGTCTAACAGCCAGAGTCTCTCACAGATATATTCACTTGTGCAGGCAAAATCTGGCTGAAACAGACCAAAATTACAAGCCTTCTGAATTTATGCCTGAGGGGCGGCAACAGACAGTATCAGCTCCCTCAGATATTAAAGGAATGGAAGTCAAGAGCAGAGGCTCCAGACGTCAGCTGCCCAGAGTGGTTCTGCTCTGTGTCCTGTGTTCTTAGTCAGGTGACTTATCCTCCGTTAAAGGGGGATGAGAAGAGTATCCCCTACCTCACGAGATTCTTTTAAGGATTAAATGAGTGAATACACAAGGTTAGCTTTTTAAAAACTTGCACTGTTCCTTAAGCAACCACTAGTTAAAAACTTATACACCCTCTCCACACACACAACCAGTGGCTAAATACCTAAAAATGTCAAAAGGGGTTCTATCGATGTTCTTTCCCTAGCAAATAAAAAATCACAAGGACATCAAAATCAGATATGCCCCACTGCACACAGTATTAAAGGAGACTTTCAGGTGACAGCCAATACAAAGAACATGGACCCTCGCATGTAAATTGTTTTATAACATAATTTAATCGTCCCCGCTGTTAAAGCACGGTTCTCTGGACATGAATGCTTTGTCCACATGGGGTGTCAAGTGCAGCCCCTGCAGAGGGCAGCCAGCAATTCAGCAGCTGGGTCTGCCACTCTCCCAGGGCAGAGCAGAGGTGCACCACCCCTAGGGAAGGGCCACGAGGAACCTTGGCGGGCCTGTCTGGAGACATGTGTGCGCGTGCAATTGTAGAAGTCCTGAGGCAGTGCCACCAACTCCCTAATGGCCATGCTAAAATGCTTTTGTCCATTCTGAAAGTAGCTAAAACACAGAGCAGCAACAAACTGTTGTTCTTTTGGAAGCATGACGGTAAGAGGTTCTGTAAGAGGTTCTGCCATTGTCTGACTCCCCTGAGTCTTGAGGGAAGGGCTGGGAGCTCCTCAGAAGTGGCTCCTCCCCAGGGACCACCAGGCGGAAGAAGGCTGTTGGTGGAGTGTGTATACCTCCTGCCCCCTGGAGGGTTAGGCCAGAGCACCTGCATTTTGAAATGTCATCCAGAGAATCTGATGCAGGCAGGTGGCCAGGAGGAGAGGCTCTGAGCTGTCCCTATGCAGAAAAGTGATGGTTTCCGTTGGAACCCACCTGGCCTCCTGCCTCGGGTAGGGGGTGGCAGGACCAGGAGCAGGATGAAGCCAGCCAGGCTGCACACCTGGCTGAGGACAGGCTCCTCTGCAGTTTTCCCCATAATCTTTACAAAATGAGGCATGCTTGTTGCAGAAACTTGCGAGGGATGTAGAGATCCACCCCCAGCAATCACCCCCCACCTTGACATTCCCCTCCTATGCATCTGACCCACAGCACGGGGCCTTTTTCATAGTGCCCATACAATTCCATATTTCTTTCACTAAAAACAGCCTAAGCAGGTGAACGTGAAAACAGCCTTATCACATGGTTGGTCTTTTCATTTCCTCCTTTGCAAGCTGCCAGCTCCCATCATTTGCCTGCTGACCTCCTGGTCAAACCAGGCATTCCAGCCAACTGGGAGCTCACTTCACTTGTGCCTCCCATTTGTTTTTAGGAAATGAGAAAAATCCCAATCCAAAGCAATAAGGCTTTGATTTACTGAGAGCTCGCATCAGGACAGAACTGGACTCTCCTCTACTCACTGCTGAAGGGCACAGGAAGGGGCTTGGTGACCGACCTGCCCAGGTCTGGAGAATGAGCTCGGCTTCATGCTTCTCACAGCAGGCAGCTTCAGCAGAGAACCCATCCCAGATGCAGGCCTCCCAACAGCCACCGCCTTGCACTGTCCTCCACGTGTGTCTCTTTGTCCCTCTCAGTGCATACCCGTGCGTTCCCACTGCAGAGAACTTCCTCATGCAGAGGTACACGTTAGGTGCCATAGCTCTAATACCTTCTCCAACTGTGTTTGGAATGCAAGGTTACATGTCGTTAAACTACGTGCCCAACTTCTGTCCCACACAGATGAGATTGCTAGTGTTGGAGTCCATGATTCCTTGATTGTGTGGCAATTGAAACACTTCTTAGAAAGAAAAAGGCTCATCATGACACAGCCAGCGACAGAGCAGGGTGAGTCACATTCTGATTTTAGTGCATGATTTGACAAGACCCTACTACAGGGAGTGTTCCAACAAACATTCTTTAAGTTAAATGGCAAAAACCAAGCAATGAGTCAAAGCCCATCCAGGAAGCCCTCTCCTGGAGCTGCAGGTGAGAAGAGCAGGGGCTCAGGGAGTCCTGAAAGGGAGGCAAACGCTGCTCGTGCGGGTCAGGGCCTTCCCTAGAGGACCTGAGCACACATTGCCAGTAGAGAAGAGGAGTGAACCCCCAGGAGGACCCACCCTAAAGCCAAGGGAATCTGTACCTAAAAGGGAGCCCACATCCAGTTTATTAGGCTTGAGAAGGCCAAGAGTTCATTTTCTACTGAAACGTCTGCACCCACAGTCACTGATTGCCAAATCCCCTCTCCTTTTGCTGCTAGGGTCTTCGGCACAGATGGAGTAATAAGTGACTCTGGAATACGTGCAGGTGAAACTGACAGGGTCAAGGGTCAACACTATGGCAGACATTCACAGTGTTCTGCACGTATGCAGAGAGAGGCCCCTTTTCAGTGCTCCCCGAACCCAGGGAAGGACAATGCTGTCAGTGAGAAGTCCCCACTCATCTTGTTCAAGACGGGTGGGGGCGTTGGGAGGGCCGAATGGGAATGGGCATGGAGAAGGCTTGGGCGGCAAGGCGCCAAGACTGGCTGCTCATTCACCCCACAAACATCGGGTCTTTCCTGCCCATCCTGGCTCACGGGCCATGAAAGSTAACCAATTCTGACGGCCACATGCATGCTCCTGTAAGAAACAGACTCAGGAAGAGCAAACTTCTTCAAAGAAAATTAACACCACACATAACATTCTGACACTGGAGCTCTTCTACCATGCTTCCAATGGCATATTTTTTGAACAGTTTAGTCACAGAAAATGTTTTATAAGGTTTTTGTTTTTGTGCTAGGGATTGAACTCAGGGCCTTGTGCAGYACTCTACCACTGAGCGACATCCACAGTCCTTACATTTTGAGACAGGGTCTTGGTATGTTGCTGAGGCTGTCCTCCTGTCCTCCTCCCAGGTAGCAGGGATGACAGGCATGTGCCAACAGCACCTGGTTTTTTTATAACTCAAATTCATTTCATCTTCAGACCTCAACATGAGAATCTTATCTGCCCTACATTGAAAAAAATTCAGGGGCTGGGGTTGTGGCTCAGTGGTAGAGCGCTTGCCTAACATGTGTGAGGCACTGGGTTTGATGCTCAGCACCACAAATAAAATAAAGGTCCATTGACAAATAAAAAGAAAAAAAAGATTTTTTAAAAATTTTTTAAAATTCAGTCTTACCTGTTGCAAGGAAAAAACAAGACAGTAGGAAGACGGTCAACCATAAATTCCCAAGGAAGATCATTCTGAGACACATCAATTCTGGGAGACAAAGAGAAAACAGAGGTAAGAGAGAGGCCCAGGGAGCTCCCAGCTCAAAGAACCTTCTCTAATACCTAAGGAATCCGGTGCTTTTT